TTAATAGACAGGTGCAATTCGGCGGCATGATGATAAAGTGCTGCGTCCGGTGTGAAATTGCAATCTGTGTGTTTATGGGTGCTCACGTGCACTTCAAAGTTGGCAATCCCTTTTTTTTTTTTTTTTTTTTGACGCAGGCTCAACAAGTAGCCACCTCTCAGCTCCACTCCTAGTCATCATTTACAAAAGCCATATACGAGGCGGTAGAGCATGAAGTCAGTGCGGTTCCTGTGTATGAGAAAGGACTGCCACTTCAAACCAAGCTAATTGCAGCACGGGTGAAAATTGTGCTATGACTCATGATACCTGAGGTATTTTGATGCATGGAGAGACTTGAGAACTATTTTTAATAATTGTGGGAAATGTAAAAAATGTATATTTACTGCCAGTCTGTCTACTCAAACACAGCTTGACAGTAATCTCGCATCGCGTGCAACCCTACTTCCTGGCAGCACGTCTGAGGCCTCCAGGAATGTGACCATGTGACTCTCACTTTGAAATGTGCGTTGAATTGCACACAATCATCTTTTGCCTTTCTCCTAAGCCCGATAACACTTGTGTCATAAAGTCAATTACTGTTTATGATGCCATTTACAATTTACGCACTCGAGTAAAAAGTCAACCTTAGTTTTGGCCATACTCATGGTTTTCAAATGAGGAAATTACACAGTGATTCCTGTTTGTAAAGACAGTGGCAGTCGCTCGAAGGAAAAGCAAGGTTGTATAACTGGCTGTGTTGCAATGGGAAGAGGAGAAAAAAAAACACACTCAAGACACGCCTGTTGTTGCTGTACACACGCAGAAGAAACTGGGAAAATAAAAAAGTCCCTGCTAGAGAGTAGTAATTAACACTTCCTGTTAAAAGTTGATGATAATTCCATTGTCTAACACCTGTGTCAAACTCAAGGCGCAGGAGCCAAATCTGGCCCGCCACATAAATTTATGTGGCCCGTGAAAGCCAATCAAGCGTGTCAACTTCCATGATGCTTCCTAAAATCTGTACCAAAATTTCAAATGATCATATGTAATAAATGAAAGCTGTTGTCAGTATTTTCTTGCTACCAAATCCCTCATTACAGTCACTTAAATAGTTATTATTCTTGACTTCCTCACATGGTTTTACAGTCAAGATGGCCCTCCAAGGGAAATGGCAACTACAATGTGGCCCGTGACAAAATTGAGTTTGACACCCCTGGTCTAACAGGTCAGGCAAGCATCTTCCTCATACCATCCTATTATGTTTTTTTTTAACTACGGAAAGTATGCACTGACGTACATATGGCAAAGCCGGTCACCTCAACAAATTACAGGATGGTACATCTAGTCACATTTTTTGCTTAACGAAGACACAAGTAGAGGTAGTAGGAGACAGAGACAATCAGCAAGTGTAGACATATTAAAGGCAAACAAATGAAAATATTCTTCACTGGCCAAATCAATGGCCTGATCTCAACACCACAGAGTATACATTTCACCAACTGAAGACACATGTGAGGGCAGTAAGAGCCACAAAAAAAGTAGCCATGAAGCCTGGCAATGCACTGCCAGGGAGGCAACTCAAGACTTTGGTGATGTTCAAGAGCTGTAGATATACATGCTTTACATGGTAGGAACATAGAGGCATAGGAAGTAATTAAGAATTATAATCACCATTACATATTTTGAGCCTTTACAAATGGCAGTAGTCTACATCTAATATATTCCATTGTGGTTCATGCTATCAAAATGAATCTGTTTTTTAATGATAAATTCGCACCAATGCACTTTATAGGTTGAATAATTGGGTGGCTAGGGATTTTTTTTTTTCATCAAGACCTTGTGTTGTGTATCACACAAGATGGACCAGGACTACCTAATATTATGTCTATCTTTATAGGGGAAATGTAGTTATAACTGCCGTTGAAAATGTTGGCCAGACATTTACAATTACGCGCGAATATTGCATATTGAATGAACTTGCGTATGTGCAGGGTCCTTGAAATTTAGCCACACTGGCCACCCATCAACCTTCACCCCACCCCCACAGTAAGTCCTCCCCGGCACTTGTATCACAACGTCCTTGTTGGTCCCTCACTGACATAAACTGGCTAGCTTCCAGACTTTCCAGCTGGACATTCCTCTCCATCTCGGGCCTTTTATGTCCTTGTTTCGAAACACCCACACCAACATGCAATGTTAAGATTTGATTTGATTTGATTTTTATTTTTTTTAATGGTCCATCACTTTTTTTGTATACATAAGAGTGGACAGGAAATATATTACATGCTGGTGTTGTTTTGTGACCTTTGTTATTTATTTTGTGTTGTCGCGCGTAACCTTCACTCGAGTATCAAGGCTGTCAGACTTTGTCCATGCATGCTCAAATTCTTATCAGGAACAAGGATGTAGAGGAGGAAACATACCTTTGGTAAATGGGGAACTACAGTATTCAAGTTAAAAAAACCTTCATACGGGATGGATGTCATCATTTTGCGAAATGGAGTGCTGCACTTCTTTCACGAGTTTGTCTTGTTGACTCTAAATGAAGAGAAATTTGAACACTTTTGTTTCAAAACACACACACACACAAAAATGCGATTCACTTACATTTTTTATACAACGGACTTCTCATTAAACAAAATGTGTTTTCATGACTATAGTCAGAGACTTTATACTTATTTTCTATTGTAATTGTGTATTTTTCTAATCTATTTTTTTTTTTAAACATCACGTTTTACCTTCTTGCTACACGTTGTTAAAAGTTAAGCGGAACATGAATACTGTATCTGTTTGCTGTAAACGTTTTTTTTATTCCATCCAATTTGCATACGGCTTATCCTCGTGAGGTTGTTCATTACAAAATAAACAAAAAAACGGGAGGGACATTCGGGGTCATGTTTTGACTATTGAGTTGACTGATGTTTAGTTTTGTAACAGAAGCATTGTGTAGTGCATGGCTCCCAAAGCTGGCGAAAAGACAGGCTGGAGTTTGCTTTGAGTCACAAATTCTTTTTACATCTTCAAAATATCATAACATTTCTTAATGACAGAAATCTTTCGTAGCATTAGGGCCATCATTTCCTCATGAACAGCATACTACAGTTGGTTTGTTGTGTTGCTAAATATAAACAACTATGTTGCAAAGTGAGCCTTTCACTCATTTTGAAAAGTGTGGAATGACAAAGATACTTCCTCTTGGCTCTGACAGCCAGCTGGACTGAAGGTGTGTCTAAAAATTAAACACCACAATAGAGTTCCGTGAAACAAAATTCCAGATTGTTGAGAACTAAAACTCGCTCATGAAAACGTACATGACACTTCATCAAGCAGAAAAGGGTGTAAAATGATCACCCAGTCAAGATAGGAGCCATAGGCGAAGGACTATAACAATAACATGCTTTAGGTAACATTTTAGGTAACCTATTTTCTCCTCCCTTTGACAAAAAGCCCACGGCAAAAACTGCGAACATGTTCAGACACACCCAAGCACTTTTTCCACATGAGAGAAGGGTTCAGTTTTTCATTCTAATGCTCCAGTGCACCATTAATTTGTGTAAATAATTATTCAAGGAAAGCCTCTTGGCTCCTGTTCCTTAGGTCCTCCTGGAAAGCGGTATTGCTGAAGAGTTAACCACGTTTAAATATTTAACTTCACAAGATTATCTTAAACCTTGGCATTTTCTAGACGAGATACTGAAATCAATGTGATCTAGAATGGATTGGGGGGGGCAAAAATAAATGATGAATACAATGCTTTTTATGCAGCACTTTGTATACAGCGGTGGTTGTTTTATAGTGCTCTAAAAATGCAGTTGAGTTGAGTCAATTTAATTCGATTTTTTTTCAACTTAAGTTTTCAAGTTTCATTTTACACATCGCTGTCTTTGATAAAACATAACAAATGAAAAATTAAATGCAATTTCTTATCTTATCAATGCTATGCGGCAATGTGGTGCGGCACAAGTGGCAAGAACAATTATTTTGACTTCATTTTGTGTTTATAAGTAGTGTAGCAGCACGACCCTGACATTCAGGGTTTGAATCTTGGCTGTGGACCATGTCCTCCCTGTTGTTCCCCACTTTCACCTTATTGGTGTGAAAATTATAAATATATTTTTGTTCATCTATCTGTGCCACCGATGTACACTGACAGGCAGAGCAATTAAATGCTCTTTCACTTAAAGGCAAAAAGTGAATCCAGTTGTCATTCATACAACAGAAAGATTCAAACAGAAGAGGTCAGTCAATTTGTAAGTAAATTAAACCATGATTATCTTTATTTGAGTTATTGCATACATTTTGATTTTTGGTTTGTGATGTGTGGGAAATACGTGCCTTGGCTAACTATAGATTGAGAAACACTTGTATGGACCAGTTTTTCCAAACCAGGGTTACGTGGAACACTAGTGTGCAGTAGAAATGGTCAAGGGGTGCCGCGGGAATTAGACAAATTTCACTTATTCATTGATCACAAATATGTTTTTGCTCATCTATATATGCCAGCTTGTCTTGAAAGACAAAAATATCAAATGCTCTTACATTAGATGACAGATAAAATAAAACAATGTACTCTGGCCATTGTTACCACAGATTAAGTCATCGTTCTTCTCAATTTAACATGCCTAGATTCCCTACTGAATGAATACATTTTAAAGTAAATGAAGACAAAATCATTAATTTTGTTTTTCTACATTTTGTGTCATTTTTTTGTGTAATATGTATGGGAAGCAAACGCTTGTGTGTATATGGCGCCTTTTAAAGTAGTTAGACAATCGTTTACCATGAAAGACATTTTGTAGACATGTTTTATGTTTGCTCACCGCTGCTTACATCTGGCGGTAAGAAGCCGGCACTGCATTTTGAAACATAGCCTCAAAACAGCGTTAAAACCGTTTACCAACTGTTAATTGACTAAGATAATACCAATAAATCGACATGCTTTAAATTACGTTAGCATTTATTCCGTTTTTTCTTTCATGACATTTATGCAGCGTCCCCTTTAACAACTCTGACCGGTATCCGGGCGCCCAATAGCGGCGCGTAAACTGAAACTTGTTGTCACAGGCTAGCAGCTAAAGGCGAACAGCTAGTCTTGTTTTCTTTATCTCTCGCTCTAAAAGCAAACCCTGGCTTCTCAAGGAGTACCGTGTCAGTTGTGACAAACACTTTGGAAGTTGTCGCGACATACCGCGTTGTCCCTAAACCACGAAAGATGATTTCTGCACTGGTAAGGGAGTTCATAAAGCCATCTGTGAGCCGCGTTCGATATGTTGTCTGCTCTAAGTAGCAACTGACGTGCAACGGACGCCCAGAAATGTGCAAGCTTTAAATCTGATGATGTTCTTGTATTTATATTTCCACGTCTTAATTTGAGGGACTAATATTTAGGATCTTTTTTTTTTCGAGTTGTGCGACACAAGCCAATATACGTGTGGCGGAAATACGTCACTAGCCAGCTGGGCAGTCGACTCTCATCTTGTACATGAGATACTGTACTTATTTCATCGCCTGAGAGGAATTTAATGTTAATAGAAACAATATTGTACATGGGAGGAATTTGATATTCACAGCAACAATATTCACATATATAATTTATACTGATAATACAGTACAACCAACAGAGTACCAACAAAACTCAGGACGTAGCATTGAAGAGGTATTCAAATTGATATCTAAACTAAACAAAACAAACAAAACACTAAAATATTTAGATGAGGAATGTTAACATATTGTTAATACCCTAATACATGTGGAATCATGCGACAGTAAAATTTGTACAATTAGTATAAAGTTAGATGTAATATTATTCAAAGCATAATGCAATGATGACGTTTCGAGTTAACGAATCATGTTTGTTGATCTAAAATGGAGGTTTATCTTAACCATTTACATTCCTTGTACATGTGAGCCCTTGGTGTAACTTTTGGTTCAATGCCGTTATTTTTATTTCAGTTTACTGTGAATGAACGCTATCATGCCCGTGTTAGATGTACAGTACAATCGTATAAAGCTGTGGTGGCGGGGTGGGGTCAAGCTTGTTATCATCCCGGTAAATATTTCATCACAAGGGATGTAATGCTACACCAAAAATCTTGGTTCGATACGTACCTTGGTTTTAAGTTCACTTTGGGTGTTGTAAAGAAACTAAATTCTAAACCAAATGCTTATCTTGAAAAAAACTTATTTAATGTCATTCAAAATCAAGCACTAACATATTTTAAATCATTTCTTTGTAGTAAAGTTCAATATAAATCAATCATGTGTCTGGTTAGGATTTCAAAGATGTAGACAATTACATTTTCTCTCTGTCATGTTTGCAAGCCAGAAACTGATCTGCACTGTGTTTGTGGATTTGGCTAGAACGTGAGGTACTACTTTTTGTCTTTTAACTGGGTTGTTAACTTTTTGTCTTTTAACTGGGTTGTTCTGTTGGGGGGGGGGGCGCAATAAGCGTGTTAGGCCGAAGTGAAGGACACATGTCAAGCTTTTCGGGTTCAAATAAAATTGATGTGGGGGGTCCAGACCTGCGCCACATGCTTTGAGTTCAGCAAGGGTTGCAAAATGGTATAAAATGTCTGTAAAGTTTCCACTAATTTTGGATGTGAAATGAAGATACGTATTTTGGAACTATTTATGGCAGTCTCATGGAAATGTATCATATCCAAGCCTCAATATAAACATTGTTTTGCCAAAAATAGACAGCCGCACAAAATATTGCAGTTAAAAACCTGACAGTACAACAGACTTCTGAGTCGTACATACATTTGAAATATTTTATTTTTGTTTTTTTTTTCACTGAAGAACAAAACAATGACCGTTGAGCTGAATATCACACATCCAAAACCCATAATAATTTTTTTCAACTCTACATGTATCATATCCAAGCCTCAATATAAACATTGTTTTGCCAAAAATAGACAGCCGCACAAAATATTGCAGTTAAAAACCTGACAGTACAACAGACTTCTGAGTCGTACATACATTTGAAATATTTTATTTTTGTTTTTTTTTTCACTGAAGAACAAAACAATGACCGTTGAGCTGAATATCACACATCCAAAACCCATAATAATTTTTTTCAACTCTACATTCGTTAGTTCATAGTTTAAAAAGTTTTTTTAAACTCGTATTTAAAAAAAAACCCAAAAAAACATGCGGCTCATTTTCGTGTTAGCTCTCGACGCCGTATTTGTCAAAATTTCTCATGATGATGCCGAGCTCCAGCTCCACGGTGCCCATGGACGCGGTGTGCAGCCTGTATCTGTCCGCGCCGCTGTAGATTAGATCGGGGCTCCTGAGCTGCGGTCCCCCGCCGACAAACATTCGCGATAGCTCCTGCTGCCAGGAGCCGAGGGGCCTCCACGTACAGCAGCTGACTCGATGATGTCCCGGACTAGAGGGGACGTGGCAGTAGCCGTACCCGAACAACTCGCACCGACCGAACGAATCTTGGTGCCACACCTGGAGATGGATCTTGGGCCAACCTTGCAGTCCCTTGGTGGCGTAGTGCAAGTCAATGGGATGGCACCAGTACGCCATGTCGCCCGTCTGGGGGCTGTCCACTTGAGTCTGACCCTGCTTCGAGCCAGAGAGAAGACGCCACCCTCCGCCAGTGTGAACCCCCCATTTGCAAAAGAGACTGTTCCGAGGGAAGCCCGTGGCCCCAACCAGCTGACCTATGATGTGCAGCTCGGCCATACCACGAAAAAAATACACTCTTGCGTGGCAAAAACAAGTCTTTATATCTCCTTCGCACGCGAGCTACGTGGCTGAAAGCGTCACCGTCTTACGTCTCCTAGACAACGCTGTTCGTTATACGGATACTCGTCGTCCCGCGTTTTGCATGTCAGGCGGGCTAAAAAGCTCCCCTTGCATTGGGATGCATGACCTGAGTCGTCAACACTCCATCAAGAATCCAACTATGCGCAATGCTGCCATGGAGACATAAGGCTGGGCCGAAAAGACAAACGCCAGGGACAAACAAAAGTAAAGGACCTACTACTTCTTCGACGCTTGAAAGCAAATCCAATGGGAACAGCGCCATCATGCGGGTATAAGGCTGCTAACGATGAGCTGCGACGTTCGGCACACATTTTTGTTGTCTTTTTTTTATTGGGAAGACATGTCAGATTCAGTGGATACAAACATTATAATTCTTAGTTCATGTTTTTTTGTGTACTGCCCATTTTACAGACATGTATGATGTTTTAAACCTTTGTCTCCCTATCCATATAGCCTGATCCGACTCTTGAGCGTAATTTTAAGGGTCACAAGGATGCTGTGACAAGTGTGGACTTCAGCAGCAACTTGAAACAAATTGGTAACTGCTCTATACATTTAAAAATCTGTGTTTTAATTTGACTTGTGTTTTCTGGCAACTGCTTACTTAACTTCATTCACGCCCTGAATCGTCATCCTCCAGCCACAAGCTCTGCGGACTGCAGCGTGATGATCTGGAATATGAAACCTCAGAGGCGTGCATATCGGTTTGACGGACATGAAGACTCCGTCACCTCCATCCAGTTTTCTCCCTCAGGACATCTGGTGGCCTCCTGCTCAAAAGACAAGACTGTGCGCCTTTGGGTTCCCAACATGTAGGTTTTTCTTTTTTTCTGCCAGGAATTTTTATTTCTTCCATGTCTGTTACGTATGTTTCATTTAATTAGATAATTGTTGGTTTTAACAATTGTTGTTCAACAGAAAACGTTAATGATTTGCACAGTGCGAAGAAAACCAATACCATAAGTCTTTTTTAAAAAATTAATCTTCCCATATTTTGTCATCATAAAATCTATTAGCATCTAATTTGAACATTCCTAATTGTCATAAAAGCGTGAAAGTGCTGAATAATGAAACAAAGTCAATTAAAACTCTTCACCCTTTGATGACAAGCTTCGTAATGGAGACGGAAATGTTTGCAAGCAGTACCCATCACCTAGTAGCGGTTTATGGGTGTTACTGTAATCAATAAAACCATTTGATGATGTCTAGTTGTATCTCTCATATTGTACTGAGCAGCCAGACCCTTGTGTGTGATGTGTACGTTTGTGGGTTTTACAGGAAGGCTCAGTCAACCGTTTTCAAGGCTCACACGGCCACGGTGCGTAGTGTGAATTTTTCCGCGGACGGCCAGAATCTGGTCACAGCGTCCGATGACAAGACGGTCAAGGTGTGGGGAGTCCACCGACAAAAGTTCCTCTTCTCCCTCAGCCAGCATATCAACTGGGTCCGCTGTGCAAGGTATGAGACGTTTGGCGAACCCAAATATCCCTGCAACCTCATTAAATATCTGCATTTCTTGCAGGTTTTCTCCAGATAGCCGCTTGGTTATTTCTTCAAGTGATGACAAAACCATTAAACTGTGGGACAAGAACAGCAGGGAATGTATTCACTCTTTCTGCGAACATGCCGGGTGATCACTTTTTTTTGACAAGAATTTGATCGACGCAAAGATGTCTTTCTTCATTCGTCTAAGTTAATTTTTCATCCCTCCATCCTGAAGTTATGCAACCCACGTGGATTTCCACCCCAGTGGAACGTGCATCGCTGCAGCCTGCACTGACAAATCAGTTAAGATTTGGGACATTCGATCCCTTAAAATGCTCCAGCATTACCAAGGTAAAGAGTCAAGACATCTCACCATTATTTGACATAATTACAGTCAGTTAATTTTAAGGCTGCAATTAACAGTGTGTCTGACTTAGTTTGCATTCATGATTTCTTTCATTGTCCTAACATGAAACGAAGGGGTCATTTTGTCTGTCTACCGCCACTGTTTTCATCAGCTCCCCTTAATGGATTTCAGCTGCAAGAGCTAATAATGGATAATGACACCGGTCCGTACCTACCTTCCCTGTCCCCGCTTCTGCATCATTATGATGATTACGTTTACAAGTTCCCAGAAAGATGTCGTAACATTAGGGTGTTGAGAAGTGAGGAAGTGTTGATCGGTGTTGATCAAATGTAATTCACTTGGTTTAAGTGGCTTGATCAGATTCAGTTTTGTTTAGGATGCGTTTGATGTGGCCCCGCTAGCTGTTATGTGAATGGATTGTAACCACATACAGGGGAACGTCCAAAGTCACTACCACTCCACAAAGTGGTACAATTTGGTGTCAATTTCTGATCCTGTGTGACTTCAGCTCATTGAGGATGCACGGCATTAACGTGTGGTAATCATCATACACTTCGAAAAGCAACTTTTTTTAGGTGGTCCGGGCATTAGCAGTAATACAATCGCTTACAAAAAAAAAAAAAAATCAGTGGGAGTGGGTATGAAAAGTCTGCACAAACCTGTTTGAATTTGAACAGGGGTGTGTAGACTTATAGCAAAACACAGAATTGATCTGACCACAGAAGCGAATGGCAATAGTCAAATGTTGAGTAGTTTTACTTTATTTATTTATTCCTTTATATCTGTGTTGTCATGCTGCGGTTAACTCTATGCGTGTATGACAGTTAGGCACGGTAAAACGGTATTTAAAACGTCACCTGTACATGGTGGCAACTATGTGAGCCTGGAACACATTCATTCATTTTACATTTTGTTCTCAGGAAACTCAAATTTTTAACTATTCATTGGAAGTTAACCAGTATCGTGGAACGAATTGTGTTCCACTTTGGAAGTTGCGCGGTTATTTGTTTCCCTTTGACCCTTACGCTCAGCTGCCACAAGATTAGGTACACATTCAATGGGATTCAATACAAGCGTTCTCTTAAAAAATATTTTTTTCAGTTTTAGAAAGGTAACATTTTATCACCTGATTTTTAGTGTGCTTGTAATTTGCATCACACAGACAAGTGAGGAAGTTTTGATGCCGCTCTTGAGGACAGCAATGTCCTCTACCCTCTTTCAGCCAAAAGAGGGCGCCTATGGTTTATGGAAAACCTGCTCTGCTTATTTTGTGTCTGTCAAGTTGTTACAGTGCATGCCGGCATGAATCGAATAATGATTACCAGCTTGCCACAGACTAGAGCAATTGACTTCATCATTTGTGTGAATGTAAACATGATGTGTAGCCACCATTAAGACACAGTTAGCGGAGAAGCATAAACTACAGTAGGTGGTAAAATGGTTGAAATGGAGAAAAAACGGGCAATTCTGCTGCAATCGATCTTGTACCAAATTGCTTTGAATTATGCAGATAGCTTGATTATGTACAACAGGCCGCTGTGGTACATGTGGTGCCTGGCTGCCCGGCCAGTACAACTATATTTAAGGCTAAGAAAAGTTTCACAACACAGTATTTGTAAAGTTGGATAAATATTATGTGTGCGACTTTTGCATTAATTTGTGTTTGTGTGTGTTCTCTCTAGTCCACAATGGCGCGGTGAACAGTTTGTCTTTCCATCCATCTGGTAATTTTCTCCTCACTGCATCCAACGATTCCACAACCAAGATATTGGACCTCGTGGAGGGAAAACTGTTGTTCACGCTGCACGGGCACCAGGTATGAACACGCACCCATACACGCCTAAATTCTTTATACCCTGGCCGGGCTTAAGGGTAAGAGACAACCTATTAGTTTTGATCAATTGTCAATGACGTTTTTTGAAAGTGAGCAATACTTCCACTTTGATGCTCTAGGTCGCTCGTTTAAAAAAAACAAACAAAAAAAATTATATATATATGAGTTGATAGATATCTATATAACATTATATAGGTATATATAATATATCTAAATATATTCCATAAATATAATATATGCAACACTTTCTATGAATCTCTGGAGTGGTTTACATTTTCAAACAATGACTTCTACAACGTTTCTAGGAAGTCACAATTTCCCATCACTAGTGAGCTACAGCATTAGCAGAGGCCTGCGGGACACTACTCGGGTGCTACTTGGTCATCATTAGCATTGCTCTCGACTCCGCATGTCAACTTTTTTGTTTCCTTCCTTGAAGTGTGTCTACAGTATGATCATTTACTTTTTTCCCCCCATTTGTATATGTGTATACAGTTTATTTTAGTACTTGCCAGGCAAGCAGCCCACTCATAATGACTCATCTCCGAAATAGGACCGTGTTTCTTCCTCTGTTTATGTGTATCCTCTCCTCCTCCTCATCCACCACCTCCTTTTCTTCTTCTCCTCTTTGATTCGCTCCTTTCTTTTGTCCAATCTCAGCTCAACTCTGTCTGTTCTCAACAGTTTTGATATTCTCTCTTTCGACCCTACTGGACTGGCAGGCCCAACATCGAAAGGAAGCCTATCGATCTAACACATTTATTTTTGTGTCCTGTGTATGATGTCTTTATACCTCACTTCCCACTAGTCCACTCTTAGTACAGATTTAAAAAAAAAAAAAAAAACAACAAATCAATACATCATATCCCCCTTCTCACACCTCTGAAGTTGTCATCTCTTGCACACACGCGCCATTTGTCGCATTGTTCTCTTTGGCTCAGCACTGACTCCAATCTGCTTGAGCTAAGAGCTTTCACAGTACAATATAACCTCTAAATTCGAATGGTACTGATGTATGAGTAAAAAAAATGGGATTCTAAAATCACACAAAAAGCAGAAATCTCTTTTGTTTCTACTGTGTTTAACTTCTTTTTACACTTGAATGGCAGTTAAGAACAGACCCTCGCCACCCACACCGTATACCTCTCAATTAACAAACACAGCGCAGCAAGTTGGCTTGATCTCATGCAGATTAGCCACGTGGTCCTCCTTTTCAGTGCATCAACTTTCTGCCCAGGCTGCTCAGTACGATATGACTAAGTCAACAAGAATAAAAATAAAATTGGCAGAACGGAATGTACCGCGGCTTGCATTCTCCCTCCTCGTAGATTTGCCACCAAAATCATGACGGATTGGAATGACTGTTGAAAACATTGTCTTTAGAGTCAACAAATGTGTTATGGTGAAGACAGTGTGACCCTGGAATGGATTTATTCAATTTCTGTGATATCTTTTGGGAAAATTATTTCAAATTGGAGGTCGGCCAGCATTCTGAAAAAGATTGCGGCGGAGCTGCACGGAGGTTTCACTGTATTATTCACCTCTCCCATCAGTATTTGTGCTAAGGTTAATGAATGTGACTGCTTCCCTAGCACCCCTTTTTGATGGTGCTTCTACAGGTTGAGTACGAAACGCTACATAGTGCGAAGCTCTATTTTCATTTGTATGCTGCACTCATGTGTCAGAGCACACATACTAGGTCATCTATTGTCCTGCCAGTGGTTTTATCGCAACATGAAGCTAAGTATAAAGGTGGTGGGAAGCAAACCTGATGAATAATGTCAAGTTGTTCCTGAAATTAATTAATTATAAATAATTTTGAGGTGAAAGGCAAAGTTGTGTTTGGGCACTGTTTAAAGCACGGGATAGAGGCAGGTACAGTATGAGTGCCGGTTGGAGTAAAGAGCTGAAGAATGCATAGCATTGAACGTCTAGCACCCAAAAAAAGTACAGTAATGAGTGTTTGTCTAGCCGTGGCAAGTGCCAGCCTGGCAGCAGGCATTAGTCAGAGCAGAAACAGAACATACTGTCTGTCATGTCGTCGTGTTGCCATAGTGACACTGTCTGCTTCGCTCAGGTGCTTCTGGGAAAGCATTCCTCACACAAACTGGCCTGTCTGGGTGCCAGCCGCACATAGGACACAGCTCCCTTTTTTTATAATTCCTACTTGCCATGTGTGTGTCTTTTGTTTCCGTTCCTTTGTCCTGACACCCTCAGGTGATCATTGCTGGCTCTGACCAGAGTTTGACCCCTGCCCACCTGCAGCTCTGCTTTCTTGATTGCTTCCCCGTGACCCCGTACATCAGTAGTTAGCACAGGAGTCGTCAGGTGAGATAAAGATACAATGTGATCTCGACTCTGTATCTCCACAGGGTCCAGTAAATTGCGTGGCCTTTTCCAGAACAGGAGAGTACTTTTCTTCTGGAGGTTCCGACGAACAGGTGATAAGTTAAACTCAGTTCTAGCCTTTTCAGCTGCATTTTCTAGTGAGATAACATCCCTAAAACCATCCATGTACATTCTGTTTTTGGCAAAAGATGTGACAATTTTAAACTGACCCGCAGGTGATGGTGTGGAAGAGCAATTTTGATGAGACCAGTGACACAGCCAGTGACACAGCCAGGGTGCAGCAGTCCACCAGCCCCACCTACCAGGTGCCATATTCCATATTTAATATTCTAAATCTGACGACATCTTATTTGTTCCCTCTTTAAACTTCCACGTACCTAGAAAGGCATTCAATGACATATCCGTAATTGTCTATATGGAAAATGAGCAAGTTTGGGAGAATGCCTGTCTGAATGTTCTGAACTCCTGTTTCAACACAAGGTCTGAAAGAATTTAGACCTGATGTCACATTGTCCTTTTAGCTGCAAAGTCGTTGAAACTAAATAAACAGCACTTTTTCTGGTTGCAAGCAAGTAGTGGACTGCACATAGAGGCTCGGTTGTTCTCATTTGGAATGTTTACGTGGTGGATTTTTGTTTTGGTTTTGTTTTTTCGCTTCTTGTTTTATGGCTGCCCATTCAGAATGAACTTAAATCAATATATCGGTCAAAAAACAGTAACAGTGCTCTCGTGAATTTGCTCTTATCTGTTCGCTGCCATGTTCAGTGTAAGCACTGCGTGTCAGTGAGTATGTGCTTTGAACTGTGGAATCCGCTTTTTTTTCTTTTCCTACGCGGCTGCAGGCTCGGCTTGTGCCCACTATCAATTAAAAACAAAATTGGCCTCGTGAATAAACTTCAAATAATTGATTAAATTGATTAGTCTTTGTGTGTGTATAATAATCAGTGTTAACAATAAGTTTTAACTTATTGCACTATAAGGCGCTTCGGAGTATAAGGTGCACCTTCAATGAACGACTGATTTTAAAACTGTGTTCACATATTCGGCGCAACGCATTATAAGGCGAATAGAATAGAAGCTAAAATTGTGGTTGAGGTTACGTGATGCATCCACTAGATGGAGCTGCGCTAAAGGAATACAATACAATACATTACAGCTTTATTCATATCGCACTTTCACAACTGCTACAGCTGTACCAAAGCGCTTTGCAGAGCATTTACAATACTACATTCAAGAAATCAGAATATTGAGCCACATATAAGGCGCATCTGATTATAAGGCGCACTGTCGGTTTTTGAGAAAATTTAATGCTTTTAGGTGCGCCTTATAGTGCGGAAAATATGGTACTTTATGCGCACGAACAACTACTTTGTGCTCACTTTGGTCACTAGGTCATACCCACAAAGGAGTTCCTCGTGCGAAGGAGTTCCTCGTGCGTACATCGTAGTTTCAGCAGGTGCACAAATATATACATATTTTTTTTCAAATCTCATGTCTGGAGCTCCGTAGTTTTATTCCTTACTCTTAATTCTGAAATGTGATCAAAGCGGAATTGCTGCAAAGTTTTGCAAAACAATTTAAAGCTAATAATTTAGAACAAGGGGTAGGACGCTTGCATGTCTTCTAACTAAAATGTGTTTCTTTTTTCTTTTGATTTTTGTTTTATGTCTTTATGTTATGTGTTTATATGTTCAATTAATCAATCGATCAATATGCAGCAAAATGTTCACGGACAACATAAATAGTATGCTTGCATATTAACATAATCTCACAGGTTCAACTACAGGTTTATGCAAATATTTACAGCTAGTATAAAAATAAACACATGGCACCCACATGGTACAGATGCCCTAGTGTTTAGTGTTTTCATGCCGCCTTACCCCTCCAAGCATATTGCAGCCTTTGAAGTCTGGCGTATTTCACGTCTCCGTACCACTTATGTAGGACGACCAATATCTATCTGGTCCTGCACCTTCACTTTGATGTGAAATACTTTCATCCCCATTTCCTGACTTCTTCAAGTAATTTGCATATTAATATAATCTATGTTTATATTGTAACAGCATTCTTTAATGTGATATTCATTTCGACAGTCGGTTGTTGTAAGCCTCAAGTCATGACAACGTGGCTCCTGAAACACCGTTTTGATACCTCAACCTAAGCCATTGTATAACAAAATACAGTCACTGTTTGCCTAAAATGAAATTTGTGTTTAAGTTGGTTTGCTTTCATCCACGTAAGATCAATGAAATACTTTCCTTTTAGTGTTTGTTTAATATTGCACTTGTAATAACGCCAAAAGAAAATAACCTTACAAAATCTTGTCCAATGGATTAATTTGACGTCTGTTGTGTAGATACCACCCAAAACCGCAATAAATGCCATAGTCAATTATGCTTAAAATAACCAGATGCAAAAAGACTTTTAAGCTGTGTGTGTGTGCGTGTGTGTGCGTGTGTGTAGTTTATGTCAGCGAAGCAGGACAACATTAATTTTATTTTTTAAAAAAGTAATTTTGTAGTTGCACAAACATGTCTTTTTGCCTGCGGCATTGATTTCAAACATTTTCTGTCTGCAGATGTGTGTAATTATTGCAGGAAAGTAACTGGCTGTGCAAAGAGTGCCAGGGAAATTAGCTCAAGTGCACCCCAAAACTTTTGTAGAATATTCATCCATCTATTTTCTCGTGCTCGTCTTCATTATCGTCAGGGGTGAGCTGGAATCTATCCCAGCTGACATTGGGCAAGATGGAGGGTAGACCCGAGCCGAGATTCAAACCTAGAAGCCCTCAAAGGTGAGGCAGATGTGTTAGCCACTACCTCACTGTGCTGGGTTAAAGAGACATGCAATTTATTTTTCAAAATTGAAAACGGTTTCATCTTTCTTAACGGCCCCTTTTTTAGTCTTGCTGAAATATGCTGGTTTGAAGGGGGTGGTCCTGTTTCATGCAAATGAGCTGCTTCTTACCCTGCCATAAGATTTTCATTACCATGATGACCAGGGGCGGAGCTATGGGGGTGGCTTCTTTTTGAGTCCGACAAAAAAACCAACGCAAACTGCAAAGCACATGCGAGGCCCAGTACAAACAAAAAAAAAAATGTGACCTCATCACTAAGTTGTGAAAACAGATCTGTGTATGCGGTACAGGCAGCTGACTGATTGCCAAAATTAAAAAATTCAACAAAATTCTGAACAGCTTGCTCACAGACACATGCTTTTGGGAATAGGCAGCTCGCAAAAATTGTACCTGGTTGTGCAATTTTACACATGGGTGGGCAGGCACTTCAGAGATTTTTTAGACAAGCAATTAAAAAGCCAATTTTCCATAATATGTCCCTGGACAATTGCAGATTCATAATCCTCTTTTACTTTCTTTTTCGGATCTGGCCCTCTTTTTTTTTTTGTGTTGCTGTTCTGTATAAACCACAACACCAAATGGGGAGATGAGGCTTTTCCAACTTGGAGGGGTAGTAGAAGATTCATAACAACAAAATGAACGATGTTTAACTGTAATGTTCATGGGTATCTATCATATAAATCTAAATTTCATCTAAATCTAAATGTTTGAAACTCCTTTTTCAACATGGCTGTTGTATTGACAAGTGACTCATTGCATTGTCAAGTTACATGTGGCTCAACCACCCACAGCAGGTGTCACGTTGCTCTTAGTCAGCAAACCAGTCTTGTGATAGCAGCCAAGTAGTGCACTCCAGCTTGCCTCAATTATTTAATAATCATATCGACGCATTTTACAAGATTCTTAGCAAGCAAATTAATTGATTACTATGGTCATTTACAATTAGAAATAGCTGCTACCGATGAAAGCATTCAGTCGTTGCATTTAGATGCATAGTTGTTATGGGAATGAAGATGTTTATGGTATATAATCACAGTACTTTACTGAAAGCACTTCTCCTGATTTCCCCTCCAAGTTGACATTTAAAGTTGATCCTAGATTGGAAGATGTGTTTTTAACAGATTTTGCACACTCTCAGAACAAATAATGGAGAGATTGTTTTCTGAAAAGGGTAAACAAGGTCCTCGGGCATTGCGGCTATTAGTTCTCTTTAAATATTAAAATGCTTCGTCAAATATCACTTTCAAACTAAAAAGGGGAAAGTGGTTGCAGGGAGGGGAGGAAACCTCAAAGACGGTTTGAGATTTCAATCATTTCAACCGGCCGCAGTGTTACTTACATCACCAAGGGCAATGCCAAGGTCCTTGCATGCACAATACTCAGCATCCTCCTTTCTTCTTGCTTGTATTGATCACTGCCCTGCCAACGGACCAGAGCCACACACAATGATCAGTTTTTGTACTTTCTCATACCCGATTGATTAGGGTTGGCCGATATGGCTGAGAAAGATATCAGGATAAATGTATTTCCTATTGGTCAGTATCAATGATTGTTGGTTTTTAAAAAAAAATAACTATTAATAAAGACCCAGAGAAAAAAGGGGAATTTACGTTATTTCATTTTAACGTATTTAACCGTGAAAAAGCGATGTAATCCAACTTTAGTGCTAAAGTTAATCAGATCTGTTGGAAGAGCTCAATAGAATCACCCAGCAATTGCATTCAGTAATATTTAGCGTCAGGAATGCCATCAGATGAGACTAATCAAAACGGCAACAAAATGAATTGAAACATTTTGTAAAAGCTTCAACTTAGGACTTTAAAACCGAGTGTTTCTTTGAGAGAAATACATACATGTAGGCAACATAGTTATTTAGCCCGCCCACATTTTAATTAGGGTTCATTTCTGGACTTTCATTCATTTCTGTTTTTTTTTCTGAATTGTCGTCTGCGAGTTGCAACGTTGTCATCGATGCCAGGTGATGCACCAGGAAAGTGCCACTTTCCTAGGTTTTGCTTTTCATGTATTATTTATCCATTCAGAATTCATTATTTATAGCGCCTCTTTCATCTGCCACGTGTGTGTGTCGCCTGAGAGGGAAGGGAAGAAGTGGAAAAAATGTCACCCTCTTGCTTAAACAGTAGTCTGTTAGAAATGGATTTCAAATGCTTTCTGGATTTGGGCGTAAACAACCAACACAACAAGCAGAGTTGTTCTAATAACGGGAGGTAAATATCTCTCGCTTAGCAGTGCTTTGAAGTCAAGTGGGATAATGCAGTGAATAGAATCCGTGGAAGTCCTCTATCACCAGAATGAACACAGACAGCTCATCAAAATAATATCCTATTTTTCTAAGCAACGTGTGTACATTGAATGATTTAACTGTCATGAGGCAACTACGCATGTTCAGATGTTCACCAAAATATCACATGGAAAGATCCTGAAACA